AACAAGGTATGGGTGACCAAAACATAAAACATTCCTTATATGGAAGTTCATAAGGAATTATATAATAGAGTTCATACAGAATTATATAAATAATTTTATTTCCTAATGCAAAACATCCACTCGCATGCATATAGTATTTTTATATCCATAAATTAATAATTAGTTATTTCATTATATATTGTATATACACTACATGAAAATAGGTAATTACCGGCGGACAATATTCGCCGGTAACAAAAAAAAAAGGCTAGAAATTCAGGTTTTCCGGCGCATTTCCGGCGAAAAACGATACAACCCATATAAAGCTAGAGATTTCTCAAATGAGTTGTCACTTTGTGGGCCTATTGGTCAAGCTAGCCAATATCTAAAGGGATTTAACCAAGAATATAAGCATCATAAACATGAGCATAGTTCGTAGCCATATATATATATATATATATATATATATTACAAAAGATTCTATAAGAAAATTTTATCATTATTATGATCAAAATCTATAATTAGTATAATATCAACATAGTTCGTGATTTGAATTAAAAGGCATTTTTTTCAATAATAAAATTAAAGATGTACACAAATTTTTTAAGAATCTATGTAATGAGTAAAATGATAGATCTAACTATCACATCATAACAATATGATCACATGAACTACTATGAATAAATAAAACACATTCCATAATATATTATCACTTATCCAGTAAAAAACCTCCTACATGATGTAGATCACAAACAGTCCAACATATTAGCCATGTTTTTTCAATCAAATCTCAATCTAAAGAATATACCTAAATTAAGAAAAACTCATATCAAACATATATTTAACACATTGGATGTCAAATGCTAAATAACTAAAATATGTAATTTAAGGATAAATTTGAAAGAAATGTTTTTTAGTGATTTTTTTTATTTAGATTTCAAAATTAACACATCATAATCACTCTTTATTTGATATTTCCATCCCACAAACTCTCACTACACATATGCTTAAATATCTCCACTATTTGTTAGAGACTTTTGTATGCTTTAATCTTTGTGGATGACAAGAGGAAAGACTTATATATTACATCTAAATGTCAATGTTGTTTTAATTTTGAGACTGTTAAACAATTTTTTTTTGGATGGGCCTATTGATATTAATGTTTGGAATCATATGGATAATATTTTTGTGCTTAATATGAACTACATTAATGCTTCTTGCTCTTCCCTTTTTTGCTTAATATTATATAATTTTTTTTGTATTGAACAAAATTGAATGATGGCATTTGCAAAAGCAAGAAAAGCTGGTTGTTAACACTATAAAATGAGTTGACTCTTAAAACATAATATCCTACACATGAAGATGGGATAACGGTATTTTCTTTAAAGATGGTTTGTTATGTTATCTAGGTTGTAGTCTGTAATAGATGATTGATTATGCTAATGGGTAGAGAGTGATGACTCTTTATTGATTTAATAAAGCCACCTATAATGATAATCGATTAATTGAATACATTAATTAATTAAATGATAATTGGTATGACTAATAACCAACTTGAAAGCAATTGGGGTAAAAAATATTTAAAATTCCATGTTAAAGCTGGATGTCCTATCTTGTTAAATCATACATTGATGCATGCCAACAATGATATCACTAATGACATTGATAGATATATTAATATTATTGATAGTATTGGATGTATTGATAATGCATAAACAAATGATGCATATAAAAAGATAAGATAGATTCCTTTAATGATTTGTGAGTGATTTCTACATCGTTATTTTACTGATTTATTAAATTTTTTGTCAATTATTAATTCTTAGATTTATTGTTATGATTCTTTGCTTTTATTATTGATCATTTTGAGTTTTATTGATGATATTTGATCATAAACTATATTGATTGTTACTAATTATATTAGACTGAACATTTCATATTAACTTTTTAGTCCTTGTGTTGAAAGTTTTAGTGAATTTTGGATTACTGATGGTCTTTTGATCTCACTATATTGATTTTAATGATTTCAGATGATGAAAGGAGTCGGGATCATGTGTATCGATACTGATAAAGATCATATTGTTCTTCTTTAGATTTTTCTCTACAATTTTTTTATTCTTTTGAAGTTATGAGCTTATGAGAGATTAGTTATTGTTCTGATCTCCTAGCTAATGCATATTAATTTTGGGAGGATGAACATTGTGCAATATTTTTAAGTATGTAATTGTTAGTTGCTTTTACTTGATATAGATTTATTACTGTGATGATTTATATAAGTTCTGATTGATTAATTAATATAGATAATTCTTCCAATTTAACTTTGGGGCATTACATTTATTGAGGGTTTTAGAATCACCTTTAGTTCAGTTTTAGTGTATCTTGAATTTGCCTTAATTAAGTAAATTTAGAACATGTGACGTGGTCAGACCATCATACTTGACCCTCTAACTTGCTTGTTGTTATCATTGCTTACTCAATCACAACTTGCCACCAAGGATCATCTTACTGCTTGCACTAAACCTGTAAGTGATGCCAATCACTGCAACATCATAACACCTCCGTCACAAAGACCTTCAACTGATAGTAATTATCATTATAAACTTCATCCCTCCCCACAATATTACTAGTATAGCATGATCTCTATCTGTAATACTCCAAGGTCTAAATTTGAAAGAATTTTTTTATTTATTTCATCATTAATGTATCAGAGCCACTAATCTTATTTACATAAATAAAAATCAATGAAAGCTATATATATTTTTTTCTTCAATTTATAATTTTTATTCATTTCCCAAAATATATATGCAATAGTCATAAATTTAATCAATGCACTAATCTATCATTTTAAACTCCTGACAACAAAAAAATAAACCCAAATACATAGAATAAAAGAAAAGCTGGAAAAACCCGATCTGTCTAGCTCACTCCATTGAATCCGGACCCAGTCCTTAAAACATATAAAAATCATGGAATAAACTAACAACTCAGTAGATTACCAGAACCTACAATTGCAATCAATGCAAGGCAATGAAAATATTATACATATAATATTTCATTCGACATAAGTATGAATATGTAATGATAAAAATAGATAGCAGCAAATGTGTAAAACGTCATATTATATAAATGATAAAATCAATGCACTTATACATCTTATAACCAGTGATCAATAGCCATGCAAAGGAGCAGTAGATTCTATCATTCCTATACCTATCATTTATATATAGAGCTTTATGAAATCAGTACACTTACATTTATCATATGTATATCTTATAATGTCAATATTATATGCAATATGTATCATATATGTCATATAGTTCCTATGAACCATGTGCCCTTATATCGATCATATTAGTCATATTACTTGCCTATAATATGCTTACAATATACAAAAAATGCATATTGCACCAAATGAACAAAAATTATGTGCATGTTGTGTATTCCAATTTTAAATGCAATGCATTGACTCCTGATCATTTTATAATTAATATTATACTACCATTTCAACTAAATGACATATAAGTGAAACTACCTAGTTCAATTTTAATATTAAATAGTCATAATGCTTAGGATGGTGATATCTATTACATATAGAAAGTAATATGATGGAAAATCACTAGAGCTAGATATATTGCATTTTAATCAAATTTAAAAGTGATAAAATTTGAGATATCAAAACAATTAAAAATAGAAATATGATTCGAGTTACCAACCACGTTCAAGACACAATTTTCAAGTGGAGTGATAGATGAAAATGACAAAATGAACTCTCTCTCTCTCTCTCTCTCTCTCTCTCTCTCTCTCTCTGTTCTTGTGTGTAAAGAATTTTCCCCCCTCTCCCCCCCCCCCCCCCCCCCCCCCCCTCTTCTCTTCTCCTTCCTTCCCCAACAAGGCATGCAAATGAAAGGATGATTGGGTGAGGGCTAAGGAAAAAGGATTTAGAAATTTAATATTTAAAATTCAGTATTCTAGCGCCACAACGCCCAACTCTCCAACATAGTTGCGTCCCTACAGAATCTTTTAGATTCTTCTAGATTCTATCCACATGAGACTCAGCTCCGCAGTACACACTCCAATATGCTAGTTTTCTCCAAAAACCTAAGAGCTCAAAGCCGAGGCGATTCTAACCCCGGCACCACGACGTTGTGGACCTCTGAAAGTGCACAGCGTGAACGGGTCAATTGGAAGGGACAGATTGGATCATGCATACGACTAACCATTGAGGATAGAGGCTGTCTCCAACACACCTCGATGGGTAGTAATATACACGACCTAATCACAGGTTTCCCCCACCCGATACAATAGTTCGAATGGGGTTTAGTAGATGTGGGACCGAGTTTCCCACGGGCGTAAGCCCTCATGGTTAATTACATCCCAGGCCGGAGCCTGAGAAAACTCTTGATTAAGGATCATACATTATCCTCTCCTAAAGTGGGATTGGCACATGGGTATAGACTAGGAAGTCCTATCCAAAAGGAAGAAATGTCCGAAAGTTTGAATCAACATGCGTAGCTCATACCAGCATTCGGAGGCTCTAGGTCACTAGAGAGAAACTGGAGAAAATAAAAGTCATGCAATCAATCACATGCGTGAGAGAAGGATGGAGGTGGCGTCATCCTGTGACGCGGATAAGTAGGATTTATAGTCCCTGAAAGGAAGAGACCTACTTAGCATTACATAACTCTCCTTGGCCTATTGGTTGAGAGCTTAGGCTTCCAACTAAAAGGTCCAATGTTCGAGTCTGTGTGTATGCGTTGTGTGTGTGAATTTGCCTTAATTGACCTAAATGTCCCAAAAAAAAAAAAAAAAATCCGAAGGCATACGCTAGCTATGATGCAAAGAAAAAAAGAACAGGACCCCCATTTTCGAACCGCAACGAAGGAACTAACGCCAACTCGAGCCATTGGAGCCTCTTGTCACGGAATTACCTTCGAAGGTCCAATTTTATGGTTCCAATGCAAGGCCGCAAGGATTTCATTGACCGCACGTAGAACCAATCACAACTGGACAGTCGACCACAGTGTCAAACCCCAACACCCACCAAACAAATCTCCACCAATCCACCGGTCTCCATATCTCACACAACACTCCGCTCACTCTGCCTGCTCTGAGCTATGAGCCAGTCCCACTCTACAGCTGGCGGCGTCTCGCCTCCGATGAACGCCGCTGTCCACCGTGCAGCGGGTCAACAAGGCCTTACTCGCTACGGCTCGGCCCCGGGTTCGCTCCTCGCGAGGGCCGCCGACTCTGTCATCGCCGGCGCCGGAGATGGGGGATTCCGTACGACGATCGGATCGGACGGTCAGATGAGCAGATTCTTTCCTCGAGACTCTCCATGTCTTGCATCGAATTCCCGCTTCCAGGCAGCCGCTTCCGTAGGCGTGGCCTCAGACGAGGTCGAGATCCAGCGAAGTGGAGGTGGCGGGAGCTCGGCGAGCGTTGGACTTCAGCAGCCGTTTGACCTAGGTGTCGATAGTCCTGTGAGGGATATGGCTTCGGCGGCTGCGGTTGCGGGGGAAGCTAGGGCTGGGGGATCCCATCTTACGAGGCAGCATAGCTCCCCCGCCGGATTCTTTTCCCATCTCATGGTCGATTCTGGTAAGCCCTTTCTCCTTTTCTTATAACATAGGTATAAAAAGAAGATAAATAACACCTAACAAAACAAATTTGTAAAAAATCTATAAAAGAGTTGTATTCTATCAATTTTTCTTTAATCGAACCTGTCAGGACTCCTGAGGTAAAAAATTGTCAACCTAATTGGGGGTGATGTATTATTTTTCTTGTTTATTCTGTTTTTTTTTTCTTTTTTGGGCAATTTTCTAGTAAAATCAAAGGTTAAATTTTAGATTTTTTTATGATCGGTAAACGTCGTTTTTTATTTCAAGTAGGATTTGTCTAATTTGGAATTTTCTAATCTTGCTACTCTTATTATCTAAAATTTATTATTATAATTCGGAAAGTATGGCTGTCATTGCAGGTAATTTGTAGGTGTTCATTTCTGAAAAATAATTAGATAAATTAGGTAACTACATTAACAATAAGTAATCCTAAACATTGATTGATACAGAGAAGCTTATGTGGATTAATCAATTATCAATTTAGGTACTAAACAATTATTATTTTATCAATTATATGATAATTGTGCTATTGCTGATTAGTTAATAACAATACAAATGATATGATGATATGTGTGATTTTAGCAAATAGCAAATTGTTAATCATGATTTTTAATTAGGCTGTGTAGGTTGACCTTAGCCAAGGCAGGTCCATTTGGTCTGCCCAGCAATGGGATTGCTTAGTTACCTTCTTCCCTAGGGGAGGGCATGGTATGGGCTATTTAATGACTACAGATTTTGAAGATTTTGATGAAAGGGCCAAGATATCCATCCATCATGAAATCGTAAATTGGTCATGATTCTACACAACGACACCAAAAATCCGCATATCATAAAGAGTTCCGGAGTTTAGATCACTACCTAAAGTAGCAATTGATTGTCTTTGGTTTTCTCCGAGCTTATTTGTCTCCAGATTGCTCATTCCTCTTTTTAGGATAGGGATGTTTCCTATAAGAGAGCCACATTAGGGGGGCCTTCGGGGGGCACGGGCCCTCACTGGCCCAACTAAGTCCATTAATTCATTACTTAAAAGAGCTTAAAGTCGAACCATTACATGCTATCTTATTGAGTACACCGAGCATATGGACATTACCTATAGTAGGCTTATTGAGATCTTTCTGGTGCTATACACATGGGACTTTAACCTTCCAATCATCCAATGCCTTGTTGAATTATTTGAGCATTTCGAGAACACTGTTTGATGTAGAACGGGATGAGGGAGGGGGTCATGTTAAATTTGGGATTTCAAATTAAACGGAAGGCTCCAAGAGGGGGGGAATTAATGAGAATTAAATGGATTGGAGAGAGAGAGCAGGGGCCGGCCTAGAGAGGGAGAGGAGAGAGGGTGCCCAGGTTCATTGAATGCGGTGATTGATTTAAATATGAATTAATTTCAGATTTGAGAATATTAAGGAAGTTTCCAAATGAAATTGAACTTATTTTAGGAAAGGATTTCAATTTTAAATTGATTTGAATTTGAAATTTGAAAACTTTCTTAAATTAAGGCATTGAATAAAAGGAAAGTCTTGAATAGGAATTCGAATTTGGAGGCAAAAGGGGATTGGGGAAAAGAGGCCGGTGGTTAGGCTAGGAATTATGGTTAGGGTTAGGTGGCCGACGGCTTTAAGAGGGAAAGAGGGATTAGGCAAGGGATTTTGTGGCTTGCCTAACCAAAACTCTTTAATTGATGAGAAGAAATTAAATATAATCCAATAAAAATTTTAATTGGACCTAATTTAAACAACTTTCCTAAAATAAGAGTCATAATTTAGGAAACAAATTCAAATTCAAATTAATTGAAATTTTGAATTAAAATTCATTACCAAATTAAGATGTATATAATAGGAAGGTTTTGAATACAAGATGAAATTGTGGGAGCCAATGGAGGAAAGAAAGTAGTTGGCGGCTATGGAGGTATTAGGGTTATGGTTTGTGAGAGCGTTGGAGGTTTGAAGTGTGGGAAAGCTGGCCGGTTAGGCTTAGGATGGGGATGGAAATTAGGAAAATAAGAAGAAAACAAATCAAAGAAAAAAAATATAACCGCGAGCCTTAGACTCTTCCAAAGACTGACGGGTGATATGATGTCCTTCACCAAGGGACTTCAAGCCACGAGCCCGGACCCATCCTGCGGCTGGTGAAAACCACGATTCCCTCCATAGGAATTCTCACTAACGTTCTCCCCAAGAACAAAAGTGCAAAACAAAGTTTTTATTAAAACTTCATCATACCTAATACGAGAGCAATGGCCTCTTTATATAGGCCTTAAAATAAAAGAAACTAGAGAGAAAATTTTGCCTCTTGGGCTTACATAAGACAAGACTCTTAAATAAGGGTGAAAACGGAAAATGCATAATTAAAATAAAAAATAAAATTAAGGAACTAAGATAAAAAAATGGAGTGTTCTCGGTCGTCGATCTTTGTCTCTTCCTTTGATTAACATCTACCGTCAGATGTCCGCATCACTGTTACTCAACAAACTATGCTAGCCTATCCTTATTGTGCAACAATCTATCAAAATTTTTTAGCGTGTTCTTCTCTTTTTTTTTTTCCATCTTCTTCTTCTATTATTATAGCTTATTAGCAATTATTGTTTTTTTTTCTTATTCTATTATTATAAGAATTATTGTTGAAAAAAAAAAATCAAGTGTATTATGTGTAAACTTCAAAGTTCAAGTTACAGCATATGATAATCTTACCTTCAATATAAAGTATTTTTTTGTGGGTGATAAATGATATCGCATATTAGTAAAATTTATATGAGTAATCTTGACTTAATATTGTTTCTCGCGTATACTATCGATCAAAAAATGAGGATATTTGATTAGAGAATTTGCGGGTGAAAGAATTGCATCTTTATAAAATATTTTTTTATTCAATTTATGGCAATTTACTAATATCTTGCATATTAGTAAAATTTATATGAGTAATCTTGACTTAATATTGTTTCTCACATATACATTGATAAAAAAATGTGGTTATTTGATTGGAGAATTTGTGGGTGAAAGAATTACATCCTTATAAAATATTTATTATTCAATTTATGGCAATTTGTGCCCCCACAAGAAAAAAATTTTTGGCTCCACCTCTGCATTTTTCTAACCATTACTAGGCACCCAATCACTTTTGGTTTCCTTTATCATACATCTCAACCATCTTGAGTCATCTTGCCAATTTTGATATCTTCCCTACCAATGAGGCAAGGGACAAGCCCAATCATCATGAAAGGCCATGAACACCAATGCCTTTAACTCTATTTACTAGCACTTCACGAGGCATCCATCACAATTTAGGTCTTTTTCATTTTACTAACATTACTCAAAATTCGAGGAAGGCACTAAAAATAATGGAACATGTTTCAATTGAGTTAGACCGCTTTTTTTTTTCTTTTTTTGATTTTCAAGTAAAAAATCTTATGTTTCCAATGTTATCTTTTTTTTTTTTTTTAATTGTGTGAGATCCTTGTTAGAAGATAGGACATTAAACTCTTTCTACTATCATAAATATTTTTGCAGGTAATAGTTTGATGTCATTTGTGAGAAAAATTCTCACATTTTGCTTATCGGATAAATATCAATAACCACCTCACAATGATGAATAAATGCAGTACTTTCAACAACTCTCACTCACCTACGAGAGTGGGAGCATTGGTCAAAACGAAAAGAGAAATGAAGGGGGTGTGGGAATGTCTAGGCATGATTTAATTATGCTCTGATACCATGTTGGCATGATTAAGTCTTGTTGTTCCTCCTAGTAGAATATAGATGACAATATACAAGCGAATACACTAAATGAAATATGATGAAAATAAAGAGGATATCTTCACTTATGAGAATATAATACAATAAATTAAAAAAAGACTAATAGCTTTTCAATATCGTAAAATATCCTATGATAACATCAAAAATAGGAGTTAAATATTATTTTATAATTTAAAATTTTTATCAAACAAAATAGCTGACATATAATAACGGAACATTTACACGCAAATATCAACAAATGAAACCACCCTTTTGTTGAGGCTCGTGAATAGGTTGTTAGATCTAAGCTTATATCCCAGCGGCTAACCAAGAGGGGGGGTGAATTCGTAATTTAAAAATTATACTTCTACTCTTGGAATTTTAGAAAATCTTCTTTAATTATTAATGCAAGTTAAATTTAAAGTTTAAAAATAAATTTTTTAACCAGAGTAAACAACTTGCAGTTAAATTAAAAGCGGAAGAAAAATAAGAAAGAACACACCAGATTTATAGTGGTTCGGTCAAATCTTGACCTACGTCCACTCCCCGGAGGCACCCTCCGATTATTGCACTAATACCACAAAGTGACTCTCCTTTTGCCCCCATAAGGCGGAGAAGCCTTTACAAAATCACTTCCACCTTCCCCGGTGCGGCGGAGGAGCCGGGTCCTTTGACACCAAAGAGATCTTCTTCTTCCCAAAACTTCCCTCAAGACGCTTGAATCCGATGGTACTGAGGTGCAAACTTGCCGGAGCAACTGTGTGAATATCCCCTCCACACTCCCTTGAAATTCTCTCTAAGGATCTTCTTCCTCTCAAACTCCACCCTTTCCTCTCTCCCTTTTAAGTTCTCTCTTCTAGTTTTCTCCAAATGAACGAAGACACAATAACTGTCAAAGATACACTTTGTCTTCCTTTTACACTCTCCAAGTGTCGACAGAGAACCGGACCGATGTTGTTGAACTTCACTTGAGAGCCTTCAGAGGAGATGGGCAGAAACTTGAAGGAAACAAAGAGTTCTTTTCTTTAAGTAACTTTGTGAATCCCTCACAAACCCCTCATTTGATCTCTCACTCTTCACTCATACAATCTCTCCCAAACACTCACACTCAATGATGCCTCTCAAGAGAAAACAACACCAAAGGCCTTTGTAATAGTTTCTAGGACTCCTTATATAGAAATGACAAGAAAAATCCAAAAACTGAAGTTTTCAAGTTTTCAGCGCTCATGATCGTCCCGTACGAACCTGAGTTAGTACGGACGAACAGTGTAAAAACTGTCCCGTACGAACTATATGTGAATCAGTACGAACTCATTTTCATCCGATACGAACAGAACAATTTCAAAGTTCGTCTGTACGAATCGTCAAGACGAAATGAACAAAAACAGAACAGAGGACATCGTCCAGGGGCGAAGGGGTTAATTCGTCTGGACAAACGGTTCAAAGTGTAAATCCAGAGGATATCGTCCAAGGACGAACAGGACAATTCGTCTGGACGAACTGTTCAAAGTGAGAATCCAGATAGCATCGTCCATGAACGAATATGAAAATTCGTCTGGACGATCAGGACTTAGAAAAATTTTCTCACTTACTGTTTGTTCCATACGAACATGTATTGTACAGTACGATCAGTTAAAAAATGTGAATTATAAAAACTCTCCCTCGGTGTGTGTGTGCTCAATTACAATCACACTCTCTCAGACTCAATAAATTGAAAAATACAGACTTCAATTTACAAAACACGCTAAGCTGAACTTGATTTGAAGTCTTCAACAATCTGGATATGATTTCCCTGAAATGTTATTACACACAAGAGCAAAAACAATTCTTCCAAAATATGTTAGAAGAAATAATAATCAAATCAATAATATTTGGAATCATCAAAAACATACAAGTTGCAAGAATATTAAATAGGAAAAACTAAGTAGCAACTATTCTCAACACCTTTAATGTCTATCAAAATTCTCAAAGCTTGAATTTTTAAGGAAACCTCTTAATGAAGTCTTACGGTCTCCCAATTTATATTTAAGCTGCCTTCGGCAGGATTTCTCGAGGGGTTTTGACTGGAAAAGTTTCAAATCCTGGTATTACTTGTTAAAAAATAAGTTTACTTAATTTCTTTAGTAGTTTCACACATTGCAATGTTGGTATCGAAGTAAAAGCAGTATCCCAATCTATGTTTCATTTTCTCGGTTGGATTATTTATCGGCTTCCTGTCTTTAATTTTGTTCATGGACTGCAAAGAAATTTTGTATGAAATTCTAGCAGGTTTTGCTGCTTCAAGAGGAACAAGAAGTTACTTCCAACCAGCCAATGAGAGCACCAATGCTCTGACAGGTAGAAGGCTGAAGTCTCAATTAAGCTTTTCAAGGCAAGATGCTGTGTCTCAGATCTCTGAAATCAGCATCCCAGAGATGGGAGAGAGCTCCGATGAGGCTGGTGGCAATGCTGGTCAATCTTACGTGCCTAGCAATTATCCTATCAGCTCATGGGATGAGACCAACTCCATAGTTTTCAGTACTTCAAATAAGCATTCTAGAGATAATGGAGATATTATTAGTTCTCTCAACAACATTGACTCCCAAGTAAGTTATCTACTAGCAAAGGCGGAACCCTATGTACCCCCTCAAAAAAAAAAATTAACTTAGAGTGTAAAAAATCCATTTTGCCCCTCCTAAAAAATCAATTTTGCCCCCCTAAAAAGCTTTTTTGCCCCTACTTGTCATTGCTTGATTCATCTCAACCATACATTGCATTTTTTGCTTTATCTTCTCCCAATGTATCTATATTCTGTATTTTTTAATTGCTATGACAATAGGTAGTAATGAAGGCTCATTTTTCTATGCAATAACTTTATTTTAGAAATAACTTTTAAAAGTGAGTTAATTAGTGCACAAAAAATCTCTAGGATTTGATTAAGAATATCAATTATGTATATTTGTTTCATGTTCTTGCAATTTTTTTTTTTGCTTTTTTGTGGCTAAAAATGAAGATTTTGATTGACATTTAGTTTGTATTTGGAAGCTAAATTTTTTTTAGATCAAATATAAAGCTAAAAAAAATTAAAACAACTTTTCATAATATTATATATAATATTTTTAATATTTAATTTTTATTTTTTTTTATTTAATTATTTTTATATTAAAATTGCCCCCTCTCAAAATTGGAGCTGGTTCCGCCCGTCTACTAGTGTAATTCTCTGTTCTTATTCTTAGGAGTTGGCTTCCTTTCTAAATCATATTTCAAAATAAAATACTCTTTGGGATTATTTATTTTACGTATCAATACTACTAAGTTTATCTATTCCATTTGCTTTCAAGTACTTGTTTTTGTTTTTATTTTTATTTTTTTATGGTTTCTCATGACTGATGTAAGCTTTATTGTGTTGACATGATAAATTTTCAGTATGGCCTTCCTGGGACATCAGTGGATATGTCTGTTGTTGATAAGCTCCTTCAAATTCAGCAAGATTCGGCCCCTTTCAAAATTCGAGCAAAGCGCGGTTGTGCTACGCATCCTAGGAGTATAGCTGAAAGGGTTAGGCTATGCTTCTTGAAGAAGCACTTTTACTGGGCTTTGTTATTTTTGTATCATTTTCTTCTGCTTACATGTGCATATAACACTTGAAAATAATTTGCTGAGAAATAATTAAATTGAAAATGTGGTGCATAATTCATCATTAAATTTATTCTAATTTTGCAACCATCATTTATACATAATTGTCATGCAGTATAAAAATTTGGCATTCTGACATAATTGACTACAATGATTTGTTGTTCCTTACACTTCCAAGAAAATATGCTTCTCTCTTAGAATTCTTGTCCCAACACCTCTGTCAAAGATGGTCGAGCTAAAGGCATGCATCACTATGCAAAGTTTTGAAAATCAGACTGGACAACGAACCGGAAGAATGAGAGGTTCACGGTTCAACCGGTTCGATTAACCGGATGACGTAATAAATAATAATATTATAAAAAATAATAAAATTAATATAATAATGATGCCAATTTAATCTTAAAATTTTTATAATTCTAAGAATTTTGAGACTAAAAAATAAATAAAATTCATACATATAT